CTTGAGGCATGTTGCTGTTGCATGAAGGGTTAATTATAACACACAAACGTTTGATACTGAGAGCTTTTGAAGGCAGCTATGCTGGGCGCAGCAAGATGTGAAGGATAAAATCCAGGACAGATAATTCTCTGAGATCGTAAGAGAAAGTCGCTTAAAAATTAGTTAAGAAATTTTATAAAATACTTTAATAAAAGTTCTTTTAATTATATATTCATAGTATAAAAACTTAAAACTAATTGCGATTTAAATATATTTAAAATTTGGTAGCTCTGACTGTTAACATAACATCAAGCCTGGTATATTCAGACTCAAGCATGGGAACTGCAGAAAATAATGTGCCAACAAAACTCAACTCGTTTGTAGTATATCCCAGTGGAGAGGCTCTCTGTTCAGTTCTTACGTTTGTAATAACAACATTTTTGCTTAATTAACACAACAAAGCAATGCCAAAAAAAATAAATATGGTAAACCTGCTCCATAAAAAGCAACCAAAAAGTATCCTCTATGCACTGAAATTCCCCGAACACGGGACAGGGCAACTGGCATCTTGCATTACCACCTGCACAAGAGCGAGGGGGGAAGGGCATGCACCGTACGTGAGGTGTGTGGAAAAATATCATGAAGAAAAAAAACTAAAGAAAAATCCACTCACAATGCTGGCAGCCGCCCCTCTTAACGCCAGCCGTCTCTAAAAATGTTGGCAGACAAAAAGATTTATGTTTTCTTTTCATTTTGTATTTTACATTTCACATTTCACGTTTTACATTTGGCATTTCATTTGAGGCGGGCTACGAAAAACAAATGAACAACAAAATTGTATAAAAATTTTCTATAGTCTACTCGTTGCATACTTAAAGGCACATAAAAAGGCGAGGCAAAAGAAAATCCTCAAGCACGGAAAAAGGCAAAGACAACGCGATGCCAAGTGCATGAAAATAGAATAAAACACAAAATGCATTTCCCCAAAAGTAAAGAGCTGTATGCCGGCAAGAAAAAAGGCTGCTTTGAATTAATACTTTTTCGATTTGCTTTGTTTCGGTCTGGCTGAAAGCTGAGTACACGCCAGGAGGTGTGGGAAGAGCAGCAGGGGCAGGGAAGGAGTCCTATGCTGGCACCTAGAAAATCAAGAGCGTTATTTGGGATGGTGCAGTGAAATTTAAAGCCTTCAAATGAATTTAATGAGCAGCTTAAAGGAGAAGCATAAAACAGTTAACAGTTACAGAATCTGATTGTTAGTTAGTCGAGAGCTTATGTTAATTAAATAAAACGTTTAATTTAATATTTTTATATTATATTCATCATTAACTGGTTAACAGTGAGAGGAAGCAGACTTGTTAGTAATAGCAATCTTTTATAAAAATGGTATTACCAAAATGCCTTACAGCAAGAGAAATGTTAATGTTAAAGCTCTTTACCAACAGCTGCTTAACATTCTATTGACATTACAGTCAGTTAAAAGATAATTAAAAATTAAAACAACCTATTTAGTTATGTTGCATATTAAAAATACAAGTCCATGTACAGCTGTGGCTAACCAAGCTGATCCTGAGTAATTGCCAAACTTTCTAAGCGTACGATCATTGATCTGCCTCACATGCATAATAATTATAGAAAATTTGATACACTCAGACAGCTGGCGCCATGAAAAGCCCACAAATCATGCTCGAATCCCAAATCACAGGCGCGTGCAAACACACACACACATGCTGATTATTTTTGGAGCATGCATGCAACAATAACTCCATCTAAGCTGACCAGCAGCAGAAACTGCATCAACAACAGCTACAACTTGCTTAAACAATTTTCCAATTTTCACATGCGAATAATGGTCAGCAGCCTCCACACAAAGAGGAGTTTGAGGCTCGAACCCACCGCAGATACAAATTTTGGAGTGATTGATAGCATGTTATGAGTTAACATGCTATTATTAGACCGCAAGATGCTACCAACAACTGACAACAACAACAACACTGCTCAGAGCCTGTCGAGGATCGGTCTAACCAAATGTTTACTCACGACTTTTCACTCTGGTCCCTGGTCTCTGGTCTCTGGGCTTTGGTTTTTCGTCATATTTGCCAAAAGTGGAAAATTGTGCAAGAGAAATTGATTTCACATGATTTACGTGCAAGTTTTTCGCAACAACAACAGCAGCAACAACAAGCAACAACCAGCAGCAGCCCCAAAATAATTTCTAATGTCATGTTCGAAGCTGATATTGGGCGCTTAGAAAGAGAGAGAGAGATAGATAGAGAGAGAGGGAGGGGGGTCAGTTGGTCAGCAGCTTGGCATCACAAATCAATCGAAGCTTAGGAAAAAACAACAACAGCAACAAATGGATAATCATATGCCACAGCAACAACAACAACAACAAAAAAAGCCACAACAGCTCGTTAAGCGGCCAATAGATGGCGCTTGCCACACAATCGTGTGGCGCAGGCGGAGTTCGAACCTCATACTTCAAGTTGGTCAGTTGGTCGTTCGATCCGTTTACTGGCAATCGGTTTTATTTAGTTATCCATTGGATATTTTTCGATTTCTGTGCTATATATATATATACATATATGCATTTCCGCTTGTGGCAAATCTCAAAGACACATAAATAAATAAACGCATTTAATATTCTGTTGGCAAACGCCTCACAAAGTCAATGTCAACAAATCGATAAATCAATGCAAAATAAAAAAATAAATATAAAACTATAGAAACCCATCAAATATTGCATAATTAACAACATTTAGCTACTCCATATATACAATAATAATTTATGCATAACTGTTGTATACTGTTATTCCGCGTTGGGTCAATATTAATACGACTTGAGGTCACAGCGCTGCAGATAAATACAATACGATTTATATTTATCGGCCTCTTAATCGGACTCAACCATTTCCATGCATGGGGATTAATTTTTGGTAAATAATAAATAGGAAAATCTGTAAGTTTTTTAGAAATTGTTTTCAGAAAGCTATATAAATCAATATTAAGTCCCACATATCGAATACCTTTAATCTTGATTCATATGCAAAAAATATTTATACAAATTTTATATTCCCTAACATAATCTGATATAATCTAATCATTTATCTTTATTTTTTTTTAATTTTTTTTCACTGGGTATCTCAGTTGCTGGCAATACCGACATCCTGGTAAATGTTATGTTATATACTAGCGGGTATAACCCGGCCTTGCCCGTGGCACATATGTTATAAAATCATAAAAGCTTTGAAAATGATTTTGAAACTGATCGGACGGGAATCAAACAACTTTTATGCATATCGGAAAACTCTTAAAATTCACCAAAAAAATCTTAAAAATGCATTTTCCACCGAAGGAGTTTAGATTTTGCGAGAAATATGAAACACGTCTCTAATGATTTTTCTTATAGATCTTTGGAAATAAATTTGAACACTAAACGTCATCCACAAAATCTTCGAACCCCATTTGCACCAAGGAGGGATGGATTTTTCAAAAAGTGTGAAACACCCCTCAAATGATTTTGAATATAGATCTTTGAAAATGAGTTTGGGACCGATCGGATGGTAAACAAAAAACTTTCATACAACCGTTTTCCGCCAATATACCACTGTTGCGGGTGGCATTTTCCAAATCGTCGAAATACGTATTCATTAAGTTCTTATTGAGAGCTTTGAAAATAAGTTTAAAGCAAATCGGACACAACTTAAGACTTCGCCCAAAAAATCTTTAAATCGCATTCCCCCCGAAGAAGTTTGAATTCTGCGAAAAGTGAGAAACACGTCTCAAATGATTTTTCATATAGATCACTGGAAATGAATTTGAGCGCGAAACGTCACCCACCAAATCTTTGACCTCCATTTCCACCAAGGAGGAACGGATTTTTCGAAAAGTGTGAAACACCCCTCAAATGAATTTGAACAAAGATCTTTGAAAATAAGTTTGGGGCCGATGGGATGGTAAACAAAAAAGTTACATACAAACGTTTTTCGCGATTTTTCCACACTTGCGAGTGGAATTTTCCAAATCGCTGAAATACGTACTTATTAAGTTCTTATGAAGAGCTTTAAAAATAAGTTTGAAGCAAATCGGACACAACTTAAAACGCCGCCCAAAAAATCTTTAAATCGCATTTCTCCCGAAGAAGTTTGAATTCTGCGAAAAGTGAGAAACACGTCTCAAATGATTTTTCATATAGATCACTGGAAATGAATTTGAGCGCGATACGTCACCCACCAAATCTTTGACCTCCATTTCCACCAAGGAGGAACGGATTTTTCGAAAAGTGTGAAACACCCCTCAAATGAATTTGAACGAAGATCTTTGAAAATAAGTTTGGGGCCGATGGGATGGTAAACAAAAAAGTTACATACAAACGTTTTTCGCGATTTTTCCACACTTGCGAGTGGAATTTCCCGAAACCCCGTCTTAACGTGCACCTACATCACATAAGGTAACTACAGTGAAAATTTCAGCTTCCTAGCTCTTACGGTTTGGGCTGTGCGTTGATCACCAATCAGTCAGTCAGTCAGTCAGTCAGTCAGTCAGTCAGTCAGTCAGTCAGTCAGTCAGGACAAACAGTTTTATATATAGAGATTGATGGGCTTGTTGACATATAAACAAGATACTGCGATCTTTGTTGCCAAAGAGAACAAACTTAATTAATGCTTTGCATTTGGCGAATCATTCACAAAACCTGTTTTGAATGCGCAAATAAATCCAATCAATATTTACACACTCAGTCAATGACTGGACAGTTTTAATGAATGTAGAACAGAGAACAAATCAGGTTTCCCACTAGCACCTGAGGCATAGAAATTGGTCTCATTGCAGCAAAAGTTTTAATATTTTAAGTATAATAATTGTAAGCTGTTTCATAGAATTATATTCAATAATTTAAGAAAGTGTTCAGCTTAATTATTATTGATTTTTATTTTCTTTATTTATAAATATTAAAAGATGCTTCTGGAATTGAACCGTCGCCCTGCAGCTCTTTTCGCATACGTTTGTGCGTCGATCTAGAGTCAGTCAGTAGGTCAGGACAAACAGTTTTGTGTACAGAGATATCCCATTTCTCACTCTGGGGCCTGTGCTTAAGTAAAGACACAAACAACAAAATCTCACTTGAATTTCACCGGTATCTAAAACAACTTTCAACGCACAGAGTTCAGCAATTTATAGAGCCGTAGAACCAGTTGAAATTAATGCAAAATTACCAACAACAACAAAAATATTAAAACTACAAATAGAATTCCAAAGCAAATAAACAAATTGTTTAACTGTAAAACGGAAAAAACTCGAAACGGTATAAGCTGCCATAGAAACAAAAGCACAATTGATGCGACTCATGATGAATGAATGGAGGGAGCCAGGAGGGTGGGGGCTGCCACTCTGAAGATGCCGCAAGGTGCAAGCCCATTTAAGGTGACAAGTTAATTAAAAATATTTTATAAAACTTCAACAAACGGAGTGAAAAGTGAGAGTCCAACGGGCCGACGACAACTCGCGAGAGAAATTATAACAGAGATCGAGACCCAAAACGAGGGGCGCTCAACTTAAAAGATATCCCAAAACAAAAAACAAAAACAAAACAATACTGGTTTTGAGAGCGCGCGCTTAAGAAAAAAAGAAGAAAAAAAACGGCTAAAACCAATTCAGACGTACATAAAACTGTCAATCCAAAGAGGCAGCCCCCCTGGATACCCGCGGGGGTCTGTCGTTGACTTTGACTGTGGCTTTGGTCCGCTGCTGGCACTTAGCATGCGCATGCGCTACCGTTTTCTTGGCCAGTTGTATTTTAGCCATTAGCACGTACGGAGCTGGAGCTGTAGCCGCCTCAAGTGTGAACCAGAGCCGAGTTAGACGCAACTGAAGCATGTGCGAGAGTTTTCAGCTATATAGAAACTAAAAGTGAATTAAACTGGGCTACACGCACCGAGAGACTCTTTGGGGCTTGGCTTGGTGAATTTTGTATTGTGAAAGCGAAAGTTGCGTGCAAAAAGTGGAGTTTTATGTACTATATTTGCCTAAAAACTGAACAAACAACTCGAAATACAAACAAAGCGTGCATAATCAAGACAAAAAACAACAACAACAATAACAACAGCCGAAACAACCTTCAAGAGTTCCTCAACGAAAAGCTTGAATATGCCAGCGGCCAGTTCTCATTCGCGCCTGTTCTTCTACCTGTTGTGCGTCGCTTCTCTCTTGGCCGTCTCGAAATCGGATACCGGTAGTACAAAGAACTCCTATTTTATGTCGTATTTCTATTATCTGGTTGTTAACTTTATCAATCCATTTGCAATGCCCATTTTTTATCGCTTTGTTCATGTCTGGCTCACATAAAACTTACGTCCAGTGCAGAAAAACCTAACGAATTTGTAAATATCATGTATATAGTTTATAAATGTGTATATATCGTAACTTTAGCTGTAAATAAGACTGCTATTCAAATGTGATCGGCTAATTGGGAATAGTATAGTTAGTTTTAATTTACACGTACCTGCTGGCGTACCTATGTGATAAATTATGTGAGGCACTCTGATATAATTGAGTAATAAAACATGTAAAATATACTTGATATGTGATGGTGTTTTATTTTATAGTTTACTTTATATTTTTTAAGTGTTAGTGTATAATCACAAATGTTTATTTTGATGAAGAAGTCGCTTTAGAAGGAATAGTCTTTAAATTAATCCTGCATTAAACTCTCCAAGCCCCGCCTATAGAATTGTTTAGATATATTACGAAATTAATTTTCTAACTTATCTAACCTTGTTGTATTCACATTACCCTGACCAAAAATATAAAACCGGCAATTCTATTATTTCAATTTTCATTAAATCCAATCAAAGATCGGAGCTTTGAATGCCAAACAGCATATAAAACCGCACGGCGCCAATTAAATATTATACAATATACAAACAAGTGGAACTCAAAGGGCCATAACAAGTTACAGTATGCGACGTGACGTCTAACCAATGCCAATAGACAAGTAACTGCATTTACTGGTCGTAAGGCCCGATAAAAACAAAAGCGAATGCCGAACATTAACCATATAGGGGACGTTCACAGACCAATATTAATCGCCCGTACACGTTCTCGACGTACTTGAAGGTTGTTATTTATATTTTGGTGGTTTCAACTAATTAGCACATTGCTCGCTTTAAAGACACAATTTTCACATGATCTGTGGAGCATTCTTGAGTCGCAGCCCAATAGATTTGTTAAAAATATTGGGTAGAGCGCGGAAGCATCCGGAGAGCGTGCATATAAGCGTTACCAGTTTTTTTTTGTTTGTAACAATCTCTCTCGCAGTCTCTCCGACTCTCTTGCCCATGATCTTGACCACGAAGACAGCGCTTCGTTTCGATACGCTCCACTGTGACTGCGGCCGCTTGCTGGCTCTCATTGACATCAAAAATAGTCGCAAATAGTCTCATCGGATCCGCTCAGGTGCCAGTCAAGGTTAATAGTTGAAACTGTTAGACGCCGAATATTGTTTGGACTAACTATTGCCGGCTACGTCAGTGGCTTTGAAGCGGAACTGTTTAATATGCGGAAGTTCGCCCAAGATGATTAAGCCAAAAATATATTTACATTTATTTTTTCGTGTTTATTTTTGAAAATGTTGTTTCTGCGCAGCATCTTGTATGTTGTTGCAGAGAACTTGAGCTACTTTTGGTCAAATATGTTTTAGAAGTTTGCTAAATTGGGAACAAGGGCTCGGCGAACAGATGATATTTAATGATTGCCGAGTTGCCTCTACTTGTAAATTGTACTTGTTTGCCATTTATGTATATAAGACTGTTGGCCGGGTGTAGCCGCGTAATATGTTACATGCTAGTTGTACATAGTTGTATATTTATATTTCTCATCAGCTAAATTGAATTCACTGTACATATATGCTCATGGCTCATCACATAGACCCCTTCACGCACATTCACTCATCCACTCATAATCCCTGAATATTATTCACAATACACCCACAGTGCCGCTGCAGCCACCTGCTGAGGACTTGGCCTACGATGCCGCCCTGCAGTTGGGCATTCTGACGCATCGGCTTAATCAGCTGGCCCACGAGGAGGAGTCGAGACAATTGGGTCTCACAAACTTAACACTCAACACTCTGGTTAGCCGTATACCCTGTAATTGCGACACGGGTCTATGCAAATGTTGTGCAGGTATGTTGTCGCCTTTCGACTTTCGACTTTCTATATGTTCAATTGCTTAATAATGTTACGTTGTAGGCTTTCTCGCCGTGGTTGGCATGAACAGCTGCACAGAGGTCGCCTATCGGCCCGATGAGTTCTCTTTTGAGCTGCGCATGCGCGTCAACAATAACATTTGGTTCCGCCGCAAGGTATCCGGCCAGAATCCGCCACCCTTCTGCTTCAGGCCGCCGCGCTTCAATTTTGCCCGCGCCTGCATTCAGTTCCATGATATATGGTTTGTCGGACGTAATATGCATGTATGCATGTACATGTCCGGCGAGTTCCAGGGCTTTGAGCTTTTCGAACGGTAGGCTAGCGCTAAAGAATCTAAATCTTCATTCAATTACATTTGCATTTTTCTCTTTTTAGCAACTTTGACTGCCTGTTGTTTGGTGACCATGGCGTTAAGATCGTTCCCCCCGAGCAGGGTTACCCGGTGAGGCCGAATGATGTGGACATAGATGATGCAGACGACGAGATCGAGGACTATGACGAGAATGTTGTGCGCGGCTTTGCCGAAAAGTTATTTGGTTGATCTGCCATGAGAGCAAACAATCTCTATTCCCTGCTAGCTTATCGCCATTCTATAACATACTATCTACTACCTATCCGCAACGCCTTTCAATTTGTCTTCTTCTATTTATTATCACACAATCCTTCCTGCTCCTTATTCCCCAATCCCTACCCTAAACCTACATCTAACATCCTGTATGCCATTCCCTATTTATATTTACCGTTTCCCATATCCTTTTCTCCACCTTAATATTTATTATCCCAAACTCCACCTTATCCTCATCCTTCATAGCTACCCCTATCCTACCCCCTACACCCTGCTATTTATTATCATAAAGCCCGCATTGTTAATTTATTAAAGCATCTGAAACGCTTTGTGGCTTGTCCTTTTATCCTGCGGCACTTGGGCGCCTAATCACTCGAAAGCAAAGCCCCCAAACCAAGTGGCCACCTGATGCGCCTCTGCCAAGTGTGAAAACTGCAAAAGGTGCGACGTGTGATGTTCAAAGGCGAACGAGTCTTCCGCTCGCCTCCTCCTGCGTACTCGCTAGCTTTAGCTTGTGCAGCCAGCGCATCCGCATCCTGTTGCGTCTGCCCCTGCCCCTGTCGTGGCGCGCATTCAAGTGCAAAATAAAACACAAAGCGCATTCAAATTCTAAAGGATAATGCAACCGGGTTGCACTGCATGTGCAATTGCAGTCATATGGAGAAGGGGAGCGTGTCCTTTTTGGCATATGCAGAATCACGTCGAGCTGCGGCTGCTGCACTTCGTTTGACTCGCAGTTGACTGTAATAAAGGACTATTTAGGGCATTTGCCAGGCGCCCGACGAGGATGCAATCCACACAGGAGCAGGCACAGGACGAGAGCCCACGAGCCGCTGGCAAAGTATTATTTCGCACTTGAGCCCTCAAATTGAGACTGCATTCAAGTGCAAGTGCTGTGTTCGTTGGCCAGGGGCATGGGCAGGGGTCATGCAAATGTAAAAGGATATGCAAACGGGATTGTGCATGTGCAATGCATGTTTAACTCTTGTGGGCCACAGCATTTGAATGCGGTGTGAAAGATGTTTAAAAAGCTTGAGAGAACAATGGAAATAGAAATACAATGCTAAGTAGCTTTATAATTAGCTAGAGTTTTAAGTTAAGTGGCATAGTTTTTAGCCAAAAGTCAAGTATTTAACATGAGGATTTTACTACAGCTTAAACATTAAATTTACTCTCAATCTTGAATTATGATCCTTTTGCCTTTATCAATATATACCCAATGAGTTTCGAATTTCGGATAGTTCAAAACCCATAAATCCCATTCACAACAACTTCCTATATCCTTTATTATCCCATCTCTATTCTAACTTCCCCATCGATTTGCCGTATATCGCACAAAGGCGTCAATTATGTTGTTAGGCATCGCATTGGTCATTGGCCATTAAGCTATTTAAAGGCCACTTAAGTTGCCATTAAACACATTGACCCCTTCGGACATGAAGACCAGCTATGTGTATACGACATGAGGTGTGAACAAAGCTGACCATAAAAAGCCCGACGGGCGACTAATTTAAAATTCAAATTTCGAGTGCGCACAAATAAAATGCATTTAGCGTCCGTAATTGATTTGTTTACACACACACAACACACGCGACACGAGTCGACCAACTGACCCAACTGACCAACCGAAGGGACAGACAGACAGAAAGGCAAACAAACACAAACAAGGGAGTTGAGTACAGGAAAGGGGAGAGTAGGGGCTGCTACTGACCAGCGGCTAGTTCCGACCCGACCCTCGTTGCCCGAGTTGCCCAGCGCAACAGATGCAGATACAAATCACTTAAGGTCCGCTCTGCTCCGGTCACTTGATGCGATTTGCAATGATACCTTTTTTTTCTGTTCCCTGAGGTCAATTATGTTATTTCCGGTTTCGTGTGGTCAGTCAACAAAAAAATTCAATAGTGGTCGAATAGATAGTGCCCGACTAGAAAATGCCCTCTACCAGGCAACGAGTACTATACATATATATTTGTTTCTATACGAGTTAGCCAAGGGATGCGCTCTCTCTTTCACACATTATTCAAACCCTAATCTTAAATTAATTCTGGATGCATTATCCGATTGCTATGAAGCTTTCATTGACTAATGATAGCATCAAGTATAGAATAAGTAAATAGGTAATATATATAGACATTTTAATAATATGCAAACTTTTATTGTTCTAGCCCTCATATAAATTTAGCTCAAAAAGATGTAAGCGGATCTATCGGTTCGCGGATCTATAGATAATTTGAAATACATTTTCTCGACTTCTTAATCAGGGTATTAAGGCATTATAATGCCTATAATGCACCCATATTCTCAACTACTGTAACATATGTATATCCTTCTATCCAACGTGTACAGGGTATTAAAAAAAAAATCGAAATTGAAGTATCATTGTCAAGTGGTTAGATCCGTGCCAAAGTGAGCCCCAGGGCATACACAACACACACACACTCACACAAACTCACACACACACACACTAACACACATCAACAGGATTTTGTTATTATATCTCTCTCGATAACACAACCCAAATAGATGGCAAAGTTGTAATTGAAAAAGACCCAGCGAAGCCTCGGGGTAGCCAGGGTGTGGTCAAATGGTCATAGGTGTGCCAGCATATAGAATTATATAGCAAACATATGATGGAAAAAAAATGGTGCATATATACCAATTCAAGTGAATTTCATTGCTTAAAGTTATGTTAGTTGAGCTTTCTTTTTCTTTGGGCCATGTCTGGCAAGCGAAAGGAAGTTTGGAAACTACCCCCAAAAGTAATTAAAAACATGGTCGTCGCTGGAGACGCCGACGCCGGCGACGAATGTTAATCAAAACGGAATATAGAAAAATACAAGAAAATTTCTCCTAGCAGAAGCTGGAGCAGGAGCAAAACAGCAGCAGGCATTACAGAGAATAGACAGAGACATTGTCCTTGGGGTATAATTTCTTTTAAATTTCTACATTACGCTTAGGGGAACTATGGGACTGGGCAATCGGTAGTCCGAATTCCAGACGTGGGTGAACAAACGAAAATTTTTCATTAATTACTGGGTGAGAGTTTGTAGAATAAGAATCTATATTTAAGAAATTATGCTTGGGTATTACTGTGTAAGTAACTGAGAACATTTGAGAAATTTCGCGAATATAATAAAAAACAATTCATAAATAATTTTTTAAACTATTTGAACAGATTTTATGCATATCGTTCAGTTTTTCTATGTTTCAAATAGTTAATATAGCAAATACTTTTGAAGACAGCACAACAACTAATTAATTAGGAATCATTTTATACCACATTCCCCTTTGCTATACTAGACTATTTATAAAAATTTCCAACAAATTTATTGATATCATTAGCGCATATTATTAACATAGACCCAAATGCTGAGCATAACAAATAACTGAGGCATTAATTAAACTTATCGAACTGGCCAGGAATTTCGGGTCCTGCATGGTCCTGGATGAGTGTTTCGTTCGCGCCAGATGACGCGCAATTTGTTTGTTCGAAACAAAAAATTTCAACAATTTTTCATAAGATATCTGTGACGAGAAATCTTAAGAGACAAACAGCTGAAGGAAACGCGGCGAAAAGCGAAAGGATACGCACAAGCACACAAACACACACAGTTAGATACGTATATATAAGAGCACACGCAAATGGAATGAGGACTTATATACAGGACGTAAACGCGACTTTCATGCGTGATGTGCGTGAAAATTTCCCCTCTGTGTAAGTGTGTGTGTGTATATATATATACAGAAGGTAAATAAGAAACAGCGAAGTCTTTCCATTTGGGGTGGCGTTTCGGCCAAAAGGGTTAAAAATCTGTGCCTACGCGAGCAGCGCCCAACATGCGTGAGCCGCACACGAATGTGTATGTGTGTGTGTGTGCGATAACAGCGTTGCCAGCTTGTCAGCAGAATTATCTTTTAGAGCGGCAATACTTGGCAAAGAGGACAACAATGGAAAACAAACAAAGCCATTTACATAGCTAACGAAGTGGGTGAACAAAGCTGCTGGAAGAAGACAGAAAGAGAAAGTGTGAGTAAAGAGTGTGGGGGTGGGAGTGGGGAGCTGCAGGACGAAAGGATGTGCGTGAGGATGGCGCGTGTTGGCGGTTTGTGGCAAAGTAAAATGGCGACCGGCAGGCAACTTAAATTTTATGTGTCAATTTTTACATTTTGTGTCATCTTATCAGGAGCAGCAACAGCAGCAGCAGCGGGTAGGGGTGGTCGGAAAGGAAACGGGGGATATGGAGTTGGAAAAGGGGCTCAAGCCATCATTAGGTATTCAGGCTGGCAAGTAAAGCCTTTCTCTCAGTAAAGACGCATTGTTGTTGGCCATTCGCAGAGCTCATAATGAATATTATGGGTTTTATCAATGCGGTTCAGCGTGGGGGGATTCAGCGGGATGTCCGCGGTGGTCAATGGGGAGCAATTTTGTTGGCTAACATTGCAAATCTCGTAGAGCCTAACCCCTAGCCCATTTGGCACAACTGACGCCATTCTGCCCAATTTCTGTGGCTTTTAGCAACTTAGAACTTTGCATAAATTTACTATTAAAAAAAGTTGAGATATGTTATTTTTTAGAGCTTGAAAGCAGAAATGCTTTTCATATGCAAAGCATAGATGCATTTAGTATATCCTTTCTTCGAATGATAATATGCCCAACAAGAGAATAAGCCGATTTTTCAACTGCATTGACTAATATTTATATTTGAAAATCATGAATAGACCGAAACTGGACATATATATAGACTGTAACCAAACCGATCCATTTTGTTGACCTCAACACCAGTTGGTTGGCCAAGAAGGCAACGTGCCGGAGACATAGTTGATCCAGCCTAGGCTCCTACCCACAGAGGATCGTTGCACGGATAGGGGTAACCCTGGCAATTGGTAGCGGGCGTTGGGCTCGGCTGTGGAGCTAGACCAAAGAGCTTCAACCAGAATTGATGATTGCCGTGAGCAGTGCCCATAAGCACAACCAGCGACAGGATAAGGATCTGTCGGTAATCAAATTTTATATATATAATATAATATTATATTTACTGTACTACTAATTGACTTACCAATAGTCGAGTCATTTTTAAGAGTTTCTTTAACAACTGAAGCTTGTAGACAGAACAAGTACCGTTTGCAACTGATGCTTTTGGCTAGAAAAACGGCTCTATATAAAGCACCCGATTTTGTGTTCACAGTGTTCTCAAATTAGAATTCGGATTAGACATATGCAAATTTTATTTAAATATCCCAGGTAAAAAGGTATATTTTTAATTATAATAAGGTCACAATTCGTTATGGGGTTAAACCTTACAGTCTGGCATTGCACGTGTGCGAGCTATGACACCGCAGCTAATGAGATCTGAGAATATGTGGAAAATGTATATACACTATCCAAATATTCTATATACCATTTCTTGATAAGTACTTGGATTACCGAAGTGATATTTCCTTTTTTAATCCCTTATAGCTATTAGTATTATGGATACAATTTATAGAGTGTCTTTGACTTAGACATTCTAACAGCCATAAAGTAAGTTATGGGATTCTTTGTTCAGTCCCTTTAATTACTTGGTCTACCTTCAACTATCAAGCTTCTGAAGCACTTCCCAAAATATAGACTAGATTTAGCTGTCGTTAGCCAATGAAAGGCCTTTTGTGCCTTTTGTGCCTTTTGCTCTCCTTACCTTAACCCTTAAGTTATTAGAAATAACTTTAATTCCAGAAACGTGTATTATTGAATGCCTAGACTGCATCACATTAAATAATCGAATAATCTTCTTTTTACATTTCTATAATAAATATCCCGATTCCCAAATTCAGCAAGTCAAATATAATTGTTGTCTTAAAAGTTTATTGTTTTGAAATCATATTATAATTCATCTTTTTTAATGAATATAATTCGAACATTGTTCAGTTTTTCACATTTTTAATCAGATTAGCTAAGTTCCTCCGCAGTCCATTTATCAGTCTGTCAATATTGACGCTAACCCATTGGCCACCCAACCTGAGGTGCAGGCAACCCGTTAGCCAATCCGCCAGTGAATCCGTTAGCCAAACCGCCATCCAATGCGTTAGCCAATTCGCCAACTGAACCACCAGTTCGTTGTTCATTGTTTGCACCATTTAAGCCGCCATTCGGATTGCCTTGTAGTCCATCAGGTACTCCGACTTGTAGGCCGTTGTTATTTCTCTCCGGAGACATACCGCCTGGTATTTGTGCTTGCTTCACTCCAGAAGGCAGTTTGTCTCTGTTGTCTGGGGCGAAGCCTACGCGTGCTTGTGGCCTTTGATTTTGGAAAAAGACTAGCGAATCCTCGCCAGCATATGGCGGATATGGTCTTCGGACATGTGAAACGCCCAGAGGCGATTGGGGACTCTTTATAATCGTAATCAGATCGCTGCCATCTCCCACCTCAGCGGTGACCCGTTTACCCGATATATTTGTAGGATCTTTCTTATCGGAGGAAGTACCCAGAAATGAATTAAATAATTTTATGGGTATCGCCGCAAATGATCGAAAAGTATGCAAAGATTGTTCGGCCTCAGCCCAGAATTCGCTCAGATCCGCTTCAGAGCTGCCACACAACAAAGACAGCGTCAGAAAGAGTATCTGTTAAATGTGAAAAGGCTCAGAGATTCGTATCGGAATATTTAAAAGAATCGAACTTACAACCAGCCGTGACATGACAGAGTCTATACCTTAAACTTAGAAAATTCGTGGAAAACTGTCGCGCAATAGAGACAACTGCAGTTTATATAGCAAAACTAAGTCTACAAATAAATATAATATTAATGCAAATGCAAAGCTAAAAGTTCAGCATAAGGTGAGAGCGATTCCCAACTGACTTCAACTTCTATTAAAACTTGTTTTCTTGTGTGTTGCACGAGATTTTAAGATAAATGGAACTTTTTTATGTATATTCAACCGAACCTTTGCACACTGGGGATCGTTATGACAAACACAGTATATAACTAGAAGAATTTAAGGAATTTCATGTGGATCCTTAGAAAATAAATTCATATAGTTTCATCCTGAATATATTTATGTTCAACAAGATCCACCATATTTCTCTCTATTATATAAACTCCTTTAACATATTTTAAAAAGTCATTATATATTATTATTACTATTATATATTATATACTTTTATAGTTATTTAAGCATGTATATTATCATTCATTTTTAATCTAAAGGAAAAAGAAGTTACATTTTGTATAAGAGTCCGAATCGTCTATTTATTTATAAAAATGTTTACACAGTCAGAGATATTTTTCTCAATTATTTCTCGAAGGTACCGTCGTTTTTCAATGTTCTTTTATGACCTCCAAGTCAAGTTTAGGTTAGAATTCAGGATTATTGCATTGAGATCTTAGCTCAGCATCTATGTCTTCGGCTCATCGTCACGTCCTTTGTTACCTTCATAAGCACTCAAACTTATGTTCAATGTATCAACCCAAATGCCAATGTTGTCGAGGACCAGATTCCGCACAGATTCTGCAAATTCTGTGTTTGACAGTGCAATCGCATCACATCCCAGGCCCAACAAAAGGTTAGTCGCGCCGGCAAATTGATTGACAGCAAAATGAACATTCCTTATTAATTCTGTCTCTGAGACCTCGTCGTTAACCGAATTTTCTGTACTTGAATGTTCATGACGACAAATGTTCAGCGAATTCATCAAGGTTCGTAGGCACCGATTCGGAACTCTCTTGAGCTTCCAATGCCGATGTGCCGACTTGACCTATAGCATTTGCCAAAGCCATATCCACATGATCTGGACTGAGAAGCATGCTTATAAGAATGATGGGCAAAAGCATGTCGTTACGGAAAATGGGTAAAGAACTGGCAAAAGCCGCAGCCAATGACATGAGAAGCAGGGAAACGCTCAGTTTGAGCTCTTTATCATGGAACTAACAATCAAGCTATGATAACGCCACTACGAAGCTCTGGCAACTGTCTATCCACACGGGCAACTGCAATTTTTATAGCAGAGCGCACAGCTGATTTTATGACGAATCGTAAGTAAAGATCGGAGGTTCAGTAGTTCGGCATGGTGTTAAAATTTTACATAATTAACTGCGTCAATTTGTTGAAAATGTTACGTGGGAAACAGATGATCTCGACAGAAAATAAAATATATATATATTTTTTGTTTCTATTTGTACTCTGAACCCATTAAAAATGGGTAAACAGGGTATATTGTATTTGTGCAAATGTATGTAACAGGCAGAAGGAAGCATCTCCGACCCCGTAAAGTATATATATTCTTGATCAACATCAATAGCCGAGTCGATCTAGCTATGTCCGTCTGTCTGTCTGTCCGTCCGTCCGTATGTATGAACGCAAGGATCTCAGAACCTATAAGAGCTGGAGTCTTGAAAGCTGTAGGTCCTCCTAGTCCCCGCGCAGATCGAGTTTGTTTCCGATATTCGATAACTTGCCCCGTTTCCAAGTAATCGGTAAAAATCGATATTGAAATCCAGTTTTTTTTTAGCAATTTCGGCAAATAATATGAGCTAGAGTCACCAAACTTGACATGTAGCTCCTAGAATAGTATATATATATCAAGTATCTGTCATTTTATACCTATTGCCACCTCTCCGCTACCACCTCAAAGCTTTAAATCAAGTTAATTATCCAACTTGTATTGCCCATCAATTTAAGCCGCAATTTATGTGCAATTAAATTTTTGAGAATACACAAATATTCTTTATTCTATTCTACAATAAGATGTACTGTCGAAAATTTCATTAAGATCGGTTAAGAAACACAAAAGTTATGTGCGCACGTGTTAGCAGCATAGCTGCTGCGCAAATTCCAAGAATTTCTGTATACATGTACACACACACACATTCATGGGTATTTGCTTTGAATTCTATCAACAGCATTGCAATTGCGATTGTATTGTTTTGGATTTTTTCTTATTAAAGCTCAATTATTGGTGTGGCCCTTGAGTAGAGGCAGCGGTAAGTGATTCGGTTAGTTGCGAGTTCGAACCCTGCCAAGGGAACAATTTTTTTTTTTTATTTTTATTTTTCTTTATTACTACTAAATCAAACGAGCGCGTAGCGGGAGCAGCATTTGGTGTTGGAAGAAGAGGGTTCAGGGTATCCCCTATTCGGGAGCTCCCGAGTAGAACCTCTTACTTGTTTTATATATATGTAATAAGTAAATTATGTGGTGTAGATATTTGCATGTGGTTTTTGTGTGTATTGGCACTGGTATTTTAAACGGTCGCACCACTCTTTTGGCGGCCTGAAAGGCAGCACGAGTGGGTGGTGTCATTTAAGGCGTCGGTTGTGCAGGTTGTTGTCAAGAAGGTTTATTGCAAGGTGCTGCGTGCTTCAGGTTTATTTGTTTCACTTCTTCGGTGACGGATGAGATTTTGAGGTCATTGTGGATTACACGTGACAGAGAATATGAGTATTATTTCTTTGGAACCCAGGTTTCTTTTATTATAAGTATAGTATCATTTTTCATACAAATAAATGCCGCAATTTCAGTATCAAACTTTAAAGATTTAATCCGAATGTGGAAAATTCAAGCCTTTGGCCTAAAATGCAGAATAAATTATTTATACCTTTTATATTTCAACTTTCAACGTTCAACGCAATGTTTAAGGTACATTTTCAATACAACTTAATAATTTGTTTGCAAAATTTGTACTAGATCTTCCTCTCGAGCGCCTGCTCGAAAACAACGTTGAGTTATTGGCTTAAAATCAGTAATAATTCTTAATTTTCAATACTTTTGGCATGTTATGCAAAAACAAGAGATATTGCGCATTATTAATGGAGAATACTTGTAAAACGGAAGCGGAAATAAACAGGATTTCAGCAAAGCAAACATAAAATATATATAACGGGTGTCCTGGAGTAGGGGTACCCCAGATGCTAGATTTGATTTATAAATACTCGACATGAAATTTATGGAACGTGAATGAAAATGGCGCACACGACATCCAAAAATTGATAACATAACGCATTTCCAGATGCGAATACAAAAATGCTAGTCAACCCCTGTCGAAAACTCTGCCAGAGCTTTGTAGCGAATTTGTTGTGCATTGGGGATATATGCATATGAGTTTTTTTCTTGCCAACAGAAGTTGCCCTTGCCAGAGGGTGGCCAGTGCATGTGAGGCTGGAAGGGTTGGCTGCAGGGGGGAAGTTTCGATTGCCAAAAAAGAAAATAGACGCCATCTTCAACACTTTGCCAAATATTTTATTATTTTTCACAAATGGGCAATTTTGAACACTTTACGCCATTTGCTGTTCATTTTTTATGCGCTGTCCCCTGTGAGAGGGTAAGCGAATATATAGCTGTTGCGCTTTATTTGATTGTTCAGAAATTTATATGCTCATTTTAAAAATTAACGACCTTTGACTGATTCGCGCTGATACACAGACAGCATTTGCCTTGGTTAAGGGGCGTGGGTGGAGGGTTACTCGTATTATTGCCAGCAATTTGTACAGCGCAGCCATTAAACAAGAAAATTTTAGCATTTTTTTTAATATTTTTAAATATGCATTTCGTGTTTACTCCATGCAATATCCCGTTGAGTGCGTCATCTTTAAAGACTCGTGTGGCACAAGGTATAAAAAACTCGGCTATAAAGTCCAGTCAAGTTGTGTCGTAAGCTAGACGCTGATGTAAATTAGTAAACGCTGACTCATGATTCAAATTTAAAGAGCTGTAAAAATATGTTTTCGAAACCCAAAAGGTTATTAAATATGTTACAAGGGGGTTAAATACAATCTATCATACTATCAAAATAGACAACAAGTCTGCAAATCAATTTTGCAGTTTAATTTTACTGAAAAAAAACAATGAGCCGAAAGCTTGCTTATTTTTTTAAAGTAGATTTCTAACATATTTCACATATTTTCTTTAGTTTAAGGTACCTGCACATCTTTAAATTTAGCTTAACAAAAAAGAACTTTAAATTCAATATTTCCCAGTCTTTGCCGTTGTCAGCATTGAAAGTTTGCGCTGGGACAATATTTACAAGCAGCACAGCGGCACTTTAAAGGATGCTTCACGGCGCAGGACAACCGAAAAAATAACTCAAATACAGATCGAACTGAACGCAAGTAAATACTCTGAGGCGGGCAGTTGATAGGTTTGGGTGAGTTTGTTTTGCTTTTTTTACGGTTTTACAATTTCGAATAAAGTCCAAAAGCGTTGGAGGGTTGACAAACTGCAAGCAAGATGCGATTCACCGCGGCCCAAAGTCAAATTCAAAGTTCAAAGCGTAGACAAACCGACGGAGCGGGGAATACTGCCAAGCTGGCGGCGGGGTGTTGGGGGATTACAGCAAAGTTTTGACTTGAAGTGCGCGAGGTTTTCACTTGAAAAGTGTTGCTTGAGATGCTGCCAAAGTGGACACTTCCCCCCTTCGACCATCACATGCCTTGCATTTGCCTTTGATAAACATGAACACCTTCTCAATAGGTTGTCACTGAACAGGCAGGGGGACGGTGAACGGGGAACGGGCAACGGAGCGGTTGTCATTCAAATGTGTTTTTATTGATGCGCGCTTGCGGCGCCGGATGTGTTGTCCTTTGGGTTTTCCATTCTAATATCCGCCGGTGATAAGCTGAATTATTGACTAGCGCGGCGCTTCTACAAATGTCCAGAGCTCCAGAGCTCGAGAGCTCCTTCTTTTGCTTCGTTACTTGGTCAATGTCCTTCCTCGTTAATGTGGGCCGCCAGCGTCCGTGCTTTTTATTTTCCGTTCCTTTTGGCCGTTGATTTGATTTGGGCTTCTCTTCTGCCCACATTAAAGCGCCCACACA